CAAGCACTATGTTAAAGAGAAGTGGAGATAGTGGACAGCCTTGTCTGGTTCCTGATTTCAATGGAATGCTTCCAGTTTTCCTCCATTTAGAATGATGTTGGCTGTGGGTTTGTTATATATGGCTTTAATTATGTTGTGGTATGTTCCCTCCAGTCCAATTTGAGCATAAATGCATGTTGATTTTGTCAAAGGCCTTCTCTGCATCTATTGAGATGACCATGTCGTTCTTGTCTTTGAGCCCATTTATATGTTTTATGACGTTTATTGACTTAGGTATATTGAACCATCCCTGCATCTCTGGGCTAAAGCAGACTTGATCATGGTGGATAATCTTTTTGATGTGTGTCGGTATGCGGTTTGAAAGTATTTTGTTTAGAATTTTTGCATCTATGTTCATTAAGGATATGGGTCTATAGATTTCTTTTTTGGTTGTATCTTTACCTGGCTTTGGTATTAAAGTGATGCTGGCTTCATAGAAGAATTTGGAAGTTCTCCCTCCATTTATATCTTTTTGAATAAATTAAGTAGTATTGGATGTAGATCTTCTTTAAATGTCTGATAGAATTCTGCTGTAAATACATCTGGTCCTGGGAATTTTTAATAGGGAGGTTTTGCACTACTGTTTAAATTTCTTTACGTGTTATGGGTCTGTTTAAGCTGTTAATCTCTTCTTGGTTTAGTATTGGTGGCTCCCATGCCTTTAGATATCTGTCCATTTCTTTTAGGTTTTTGAATTTAGTAGCATATAGGTTTTTTAAATATTTCCTTATAATATTTTGTATCTTTCTGGTGTCTGTTGTGATGTTTCCCCTTTCATCTCCGGTTTTGGTGATTTGGAGGTGCTCTTTCTTTCTTTTGATTAACTGGCTTAGTGGTCTGTAAATCTTGTTTATCTTTTCAAATGACTAGCTCTTCTTTTGTTGATTCTTTGAATTGTTATCTTTGTTTCAATTTCATTAATTTCTGCCCTGATTTTTGTTATTTCTTCTTGTCTGCTGGCTTTGGGTTTCATTTGCTGTTTCTTTTCAAGTGTGTTGAGTTGCAATGTTAAGTCATTTATTTGTGTTCTTCCCAATTTTCTGATGTAGGCACTTAGAGCTATAAATTCCCCTCTAAGGACCACTTTCAGCATGTCCCAGAGGTTTGTTGTGTTGTATTGTCCTTTTCATTTAGTTCTAGGAATATTTTTATTTATTTCTTAATTTTTCTTTTGACCCATTCATCGTTCAGATGTGTGTTGTTTAATCTGCATGTGTTCATGTGGTGATTAGGGGCTTCTTCCGGTGTTGATTGTAAGCTTTATTGCATTGTGGTCTGACAGAATGCATGCAATTATTTCAAACTTTTTGTATTTGTTGAGGTTTGTTTTGTGCCCCAACATATGGTCGATTTTGGAGAAGGTATCATGGGGTGCTGAGTAGAAAGTATGTCCTTTGGTGCTTGGGTGGACTACTCGGTAGATGTCTGTTAAGTCTATTTGATATATGGTACTGTTTAATTCAGATGTCTCTCTGTTAACTCTCTGCCCTTTTGACCTATCTAATGGAGACAGTGGTGTACTGAAGTCCCCTATTATTAATGAGTTGGGGTTAATCTGCTTCTTATAGTTGTGTAGTATTTTTTTATGAAGTTGGGTGCACAGAGTTTGGTGAATATATGTTCATGATTTTAATATCTTCTTGATTTATTCTTCCTTTGATCAGAATGAAGTGGCGCTCTTTATCTCTTCTGATTAGTTTTAGTTTAAAGTCTATTTAATCACATATTAGAATTGCTATGCCTGCTTTTTTCTTAGCACCATTTACTTGGTATATTTTTTCCATCTGTTCACTTTAAGATAGTGTCTGTCTTTGAAAGTGAGATGAGTTTCTTGCAGGCAACAAAAGGATGGGTTTTGTTTCTTACTCCATTCACCTAGTCTGTGTCTTTTGACTTGGGAGTTCGATCCATTAATATTTAAAGTTATTAATGGAAGATAAGTATTGAATCATTTCATTTTTACTTCTCTTTACATTCTTGATATAGCTGTACTTTTCCACAGTTATACCTTCATTGAATTTCTTTCTGCAAACCCTTGGGTATAGCAATTCCTTTCTTCAGCTCTTTGTATTGCTTCCAGAAGTCTCTGAAGGGCTGGTTTTGTGGACATGAATTCCTTCAGCCTATTTATTTTATTCCTATAATAGACATTTTGGGTGGGTATAGTAATCAGAGTTGGCATCTGTGGTCATTTAAACTGGGAACACTTTGGTCCAGGCTCTTCTGGCTTTCATAGTTTGCACTGAAAATCATCTGTAATCCTAATGGGTTTCCCTTTATATGTAACTTGTTTCTCTTTTGCAGCTTTCAGTATTGTCTCTCTGTTTTGTGCATTTAGTGATTTTACTATAATGTGTCATGGAGTGTTTCTTTTCTGGTCCTGTCTGTTTGGTGTTCTATATGCTTCTTGTATTTGTATGGGCATGTCTACTTTAGTTTTGGGAAATTTTCTTCCATGATTCTGTTGAAGATCTTGTCCATGCCATTATCTTGGGATTTTTCTCCTTCTTGTATGTTTCCTGTATGCCTATGTTTCATAAGTTTGGTCTTTTTATGGTGTCACACAGTTCTTGCATATTCCATTCTTGTGATTTCTTAAATTTTTCATAGTCTTTGCTTGAGTGGTCTAGGTTGTCCACTGTATCTTCCAGTCTTGATACTCTGTTTTCCATTTCATTCATCCTGTTGGTGAGGCTTTCTCCTGTCATTTCTCATCGGCTTACTGAGTGTTTCATTTCCTTCTCATTTCAGCCTGAGTGTTCTTCAATATTTCTAACTCTTTTCTGAATTCATTCAGAAATTTATCCCTATATTCCTTCAGTTTTTTATTTCTTTGTTTGTGTGTTCTTTAAATTCACTGAATTCTTTTATAATGTTTATAACTGTCTTTTGAGATCCATGTCCTGCATTATCTCTAGGGGTTCTCATTGTACTCCTCTAGAGCACTATTGGTATTTGATGGGGATATGTTATTTTGGTTTTTCATGTTATTATTTTTTCTCTGTGATTTTGACACGTGAATTTCTTTTGTAGTTTCTGATTCTTGTGTGAGACTCAAGCCTTCAAGTTTAGGTCTGCTTCTTTTTGTGAACTTTATGTGTCTTTGCAGTTTACTTTTGGGCATGAAAAGCTGATTCCTCTAAGCTTCTGGTTCTCTCTTTTTATTTTCTATTGGAGTGGCAAGATTGCTTTTGTCTTCAGGAGTTCCCACAGAGGCCCAAGTCAGGTGAGTATCAGATGCTCTCAGACTTTTTCCTAAGGCCTGGATCCCTCCAGGTAAGATTTTGGCCTCAGGAATTTGGGGGTTGGACTGGCCTGGGAGCCGGGCCCAGGAAAGATGCTGGTCTAGGGCAGCTGGTGGCCAAAAGGAAGATGGGGGTGGGAAGCGGCCCCAAGTGCTCCTGGGGAGTGCACTAAGGAGCTGGGTTGGTCCAGGAGAGAGAAAGAGGCCTGCGGGTCACTTCAATAAAATATTTTTTAAAAGAAAAACAAAAGAAGAAAGCAGTTAAAGATATTCATCATCATCAGTTATTGGGAAGATGATAATGAAAACCACATTGGCATGCCATTTTGTATCCTCTAGGATGATTATAATAATGAAGGACATTACCAACAATGGGTAAGAAAATAAAGTGGGTTGCCCATTCACTGTTGATAGAAACTCAATATGAGTCAATCACTTTGACAAACACTATGAGAACATCTATATAAATTAAACACAGCATTTTCATGATGTAATAATTCTACTACAAGGCTCATTTTGAGAGTATTAAAAATATATCCACAAAGCATTATGCATGAATGTTCATGGGACATTTTGGGTTTGCAGGGATCAAAAAAGTTTGAAAACAGTTAAAAGTTTCTGAACACACAATAAAGAAAAAGTAACTGAAAATTAAATGTGCATTAAATCTGAGGCATTTCTTGCAGCACACACCTGTACTGTAGCATACAATCACCTCACAGCTTTGGTTGTGAATACACATCCTGCACACTTTGCCCTGTATATGCCATCTCAATATGCAACAGCAAAGAATAGTGCCTAAAACACTTCAGCTCAGATTTGGGACCATTCTATGTTTAAGTTGCAGTGTTTTTACTGTATATACAAAATTCTGTGTACTTACAGAAACATCACGGTTTATTTATGAAAATGAAAGCTTTCAATATTCTCCTGCTATCATTCCTCAGCATACAAGTACTAATTTGGCAAACATACTTTATAACTAGCATCACATAAAATTTTCACAGGCAAAAAAGAGTTGTGAGTGAAATTTATGTGAAAAATGCTAAGAATATGTGCTTTGAAGGTCAGGAAAATTTGTCAGAGTAACCGCTAACATAGTCCCTGAAATCCAGAAGCTGGCATGGTGCTCACAGGAATGCTTTGGTATCCACATTTTTTTCTTTGCAACAGCACAAGGAGTCAAACGCTCAACACATATCACCAATTTCAAAATTCAAATTTTGAGTAAAACTACAAGGTTCCGCTAATGGGACTCACCCGTACAAACCTTTCTACCTGACTAGAAACAAAAACACTTGACCTTTGAATTTTGCTGTCACTACATTACAGGTCTTGTTTAATATTAGACTTCTGAAGTCATACATATCTGTTTCTGTGACAGGTATCATGCATTATGCAGTCGGGCGTGATGGCACACACCTTTAATCCCAGTACTCCCAAGACAGAAGCAGGCAGATCTCTGTGAGTTTGAGGCCAGCTTGTCTCCATAGCGAATCCAGGCCAGCTGTGACTACAGGGTCTGTGGAACACAAAGAAAAATTTATCTTACCTGGATACATCCTTCTTCAATTTTTCCCCTTTCAGGATCCATTTTAAAGTGTGCAGTTCTTTGAAAATGGTACACCACAGGAAGTGATAGAGATTGATTTTGCACAACGCATAGAATATCTGAATGTTCACCCACGAAACAAGGTGCAAATTTAAGTACTTTTCCTGGATCAAACTGTAATATGACAGGAAGTCCTGAGCCTGTCAATGCTAATTCCACTTTTTGAAATCGATCACCTGGAAAAGCAATAATACCCTTTCAACATAATAAGTAGTATTTGAGGAATCTAGACTATGTTTGCTTAACCCACATAACATTAAAAAATTCTGGTGATACAGAGTAGAGCATGGAGGACTTCCTGATGTTAGACAGCAGTTTCAGTCTTCTCTGAGTGACTGCAGTCCCCACAGACCCTTACCCTGATGTCCTACTTTATGCATGGCAGAGGATTTGCCTCTTATGTTGGGGACAGGGCGAGGTTTCTGCTATTTGTAGATGCTGATCTTGGGAGGACTGATTCTCCGGACCAGAACTCCCACCTCCCCTGAGGCCCAGCTGTGGTCCTCACCCCACATGTAGTCCTGGATGTCCCGGTCTTGATGTTGAACCTCTCCCATTACGAGGCACCAAGAGGTTTACCGTTATTTTTCTATTACTATTCTACAGCCCCAGTTTGCCTTTACCTATGCCCTAATTGAACTTATAGAGATTAAAAATCACAGTCTGTGAAATTTTAAAAAAGGCACAGAAAGTACTGTAATAAGAAAACTTTTATAATCCACAAACTAAAAATATGTAATTATATCAGAATATAAATTCGAAATTCTATGCCTCCAATAATGTTTGAATATTGTTTACTGACAAAACTGTACTACCAAGCTTCAACAATAATGTGAAATTTGTCACTCTTCTTATGTGAGTGTATAATTCACTACCTTTCTAAATTATCCAAATTAAACAAAGTTTTCAGTGTAATCATGTTACTTCATCAAGAAAGCAATGCTAATAAAAATAAGTAAATAAATAAAAAGAACTGATGAGAAATGGGGAGTTCATTCAGTCTTCAGCAAAACTTATCTGTGCTACATATAATTCTGGGTCTTTAGGACACAGATGTGAATAAAAGAGAACCTGCTCTGCTGGATTTTATATTCTAGTGAGGTGATACTGACATTAAATAATCACATTTATAATGCTCATAGAGGAATGGGGCTACTTGTAAAGGCAAAGTAGAGACAGAAAAAATACAATGAAGTTTTAAGAAGAGATGTTCAAACAAGCCATTTTTTACATACAGGATAATATTTGGGCAAACATACAAAGCAAATGAACATTCATGGAAATTATATGCAAGGAGGAAGAAAATGTATGTGTAAATTTTCAAAAGCAGGAACACGCTTATCATGATCAACAATATCCTTGAGGAACAAAAAATGGCTGGCTTTGGTAAAATCATAAATGATGGAATACAGACTGGGCATAGATGTAAAAGTTAGGATTTCAGGTATTGGAAATAAGATAGAAACTATGGATTGTAGTCTCTAGTTGTATGATAGAACAGTTTTACAGAGAGCAATGCAACTAGAACCCAAAAACGGAGTTTACATTACTTCATTCATGTTCCTTACTGGTTAATTCCAGGCTACAAATGACCTATAAGACAAACCTAGAATGTTCATCTCTAGCTATTCAAAGCTAATTAAACAGAAATCTTCAAATGTTCCATGATCAGTAAACATGGCTAAATACCATAAACCATGATATAAGTTCAACAGTAATAATTTTCTGCAATATGAAACCAGATTAATCTTGCTCAGTAGCATTTGCACTGGCCTGCAAATCACTGAGACTTTTTACTTCTCTAAACTTCCAGAATAGATTTATCTTTCCTTGGCATAGTTCATTTCTCAGAGTTTGATTTCTAACCTGCCTATGCCTTCATATTTTATCTGACTTGTTAAAAGTGATTCAAGTTCTGTTTCATTTTTGTTTAACTACAATCAACCAAAAACCACATGATGTTGCATATATATATATTTTTTTAAAATCTCTTGCTATGTGGCCTTCAAAATATGTGATCTTTGGATACTGATAGCATCCAGAGTACTCTTGCTATATCTCTGTCTTGTTCTTTTTTAATGTCTGTAACATTCTAGGAGTAGAGAAGTTCTGGTAAAAAAAAAAAAAGGTAGAATGAAGCATTTGTTTCATATCAAGTCCTACGAACAACCCTTGACATATATAGAGAACAAAAATATTTTGGGGGGGGGCTGGAAAAATGGTTTAGGTGTTAAGAACACTGGCTGCTCTTGAAGAGGTTCAGTTCCCAGCACCCACATGATGGCCAACAACTGTCCATACAGTTCCAGGGGATCCAACACCCTCTTCTGACCTCCATGAGCATTGCACAGCAGGGGTACACTTACATACATGCAGGCAATACACTCATACACATAAAATAAAATGATAATAAAATATTTTAAAGCATTTTTCTTTAATTTCCCAAGATCTGAGATTGCCATATTTATCTAGTATTATTTTTAAATTGTAAAACATCTAAATTCTAACCTGAAAGTTATGGAAATGATTCCAAGGTTGAGTTCATTCTTCACATGCCACAGATGGCCTATGAAGGCCATGAAACTTTTTGTATTATTGCTCAATATAATAATAATAATAATAATAATAATTCTCTACAGATACTGATGTTCAAATTTTATTTTTAATTAAGAAATTCATACATGAATGTAATTTGTTTTGATCAAATTCACATCCTTTCCCATCCCTCCAATTCTTCCTCATGCCCCACATCACTTTTCCCTCCCAACTTCATGCCCTCTTATTTTTTATAAGAATTTAAAATCCTACACATTTAATAATATTTCTAATTTTATACTTACTTTTCATGGTTTTAGAGTTATCATCTCTCAAATATCCATCTTTATTTTCTACAGAATCAAATTTCACAAAAAATGAGTAGTCTTGTCTATGTGAAGGGCTGATATCCTTTTCCTCATCGGCTACTAGCCTGTAAATATCACAATTAGTTATCTTCAAAGCAGAGGCAATGCTATCTTATCACCTGTCCATATAAACTATCAACCCAGTCCTTAAGTCTATGTAAGCAAGTGCAAAGGAATAAAAGTACAACTGTAATCCATTTTCCAAATTTACTAAACAGACATAAAAAAAAGAACACCTCAGAGATTAAGGTTAAGAACAAGTGAATTCATAATCAATATTACGAAGACAAGACTAACATATACTAACTTGACAAAACCTAGATCACATGCTGCTTTCTCTGTAAAGCATTTTCTTTCTAGATAGAATTCCTTATTATCTAAGGACTCAGAACATTTCTCTACAATAGTCCATCTTACTCAAATAGTAACTGAAATTCTCTGTTACATATTTGTTTTCCCCAGTGAACCAAGTTCATATTGCCAGCCCCATTGATGGGAAGTAGACAAGTAATTAGAGAACATGATTTGATATGAGTCACATCTTGTTAGGAAATGTAATAAAGGAAGGATGGTAAAACAGAATCAGGACCAAAGGCAGAGATTGTTTACACCATAGTCCTGCTCACTGGCTATGTGTAACTGCCTTACATAGAAGTCAGCTCTTCTGGCAGTGAATACTCAAATACACAAATAAGTGATTGGTAATAATAAGTAGAATACACATGGTGTATTCAAAATATAGTTAACCAAGACTTCAAATCATACAAATGCTTACAGTTCCATGCTAAACTCCCAAATAAAGTTAAAATCTATCACGGAATAAAATATTTGGATTTTTTGATAAGTATCGGGAGGCTAGATCTATGGCTCAGGGGTTAAGAGCACGTCTTTTGCAGAAGACACAGATTCAGTTCCCATTACCCACATAAGGTGTTTCACAACTGCATGTAACTCCAAATACAGGAAATCTGACACACTCCTCTGGCCGCCATAGGCACCTGCATGCACATGGTACACATATATATACATACTCAGGTTCACATACATATGCATAAAATCAAATAAATAAAAATTTTAAAGTATGTACTGAACAGAATCCCAAAGTTTTCGCTAAAGAAAGAAATGAATAGGTTACCCCAAAGGAATTTCATGTATGAAAGTATAAAGACAATTTTAGATTTTGTAAGTAAGGCAAGTATTGATTAACCTCCTGCCCTGCTTTTATTTTTGTTGTTCTGAGAAATTATCCTGACAAATAGCAAGTTAGAAGAGAAAGGGATTGTTTTAGCTTGGAATTCCAGGTTACAGTTCATCATAGCAAGCAAGTCAAGGCAGGATCTTGGAGCATTTAGTCACATTGTAGCCACAATCAAGAGGGAAGAGAAACAAATACATGCATGCCTAGAATTCAGCTAGTATTCTCTATCTTTATGCTGTCCAGGGATTAAAAACCAGAGAATACTACCACCTATTTTCGGGCTGGGTCTTCCCACATCAATTAAGGCAATAAAGAGAATTCGCCCACAGACATGCCCACAGGTCAACCAGATCTAGACAATCTCTCAATGAGATTTTAATTTTAAATAACGAATTAATTAAAATGTGTATTGGGATTCTGAAGAGATGGTTAAGAGCGCTTGGTACTTTTGCAGAGTATAATCAAACAAACTATCACATCTCCTCAAATTAAAACACAATTTAGCCTTCAACAATTTGATATGACAGAACATGGCCCTCTCACATGTTTTTTTGTTTATGGCAATTAAAAATACCAAGATATGACTATCCTCAGGCCTCTTGGGGTAAGTCTATAGCGCAGCGTTCCGCGCCGGGACTCCCTAAGCCTCATTCACCCTTCCATACCCCCCCTCGCCGTTCTATACTCCTAGTTTGGGCCGTGCGCCATTCCTAGTCTCGGGGCCCCAGACACCTGGGGAACCAATACTGCTTCCTGATCCTTCTCACCCAGAGCAACTCAGTCCCTTTCTTGGGCTCCAGGAGCACCGCTTCTGGTCCTGGCCCTGCCCTCATCTCCCTC